CAGACACACGCCACCATGACCAGCTGATTTTTTGTATTTTTAGTAGAGACGGGGTTTCACCATGTTGACCAGGATGGTCTCGATCTCTTGACCTCGTGATCCACCCGCCTCGGCCTCCCACAGTGCTGGGATTACAGGCTTGAGCCACCGCGCCCGGCCGAAATAATGCAGTTTCTATTTAAAATAATCGAATCACTTTGTAACTCAGAAGGAAAAAATATTACTTAAAATGATTATTCAAAATGCAGACATCAGCCCAACAGGTGTAGCCATCTCATATGGAGCTGGTGATAACTACCTGGGACAATAAAGAAATGGATTTCTTCCCACGGATGTGTGAAAACGCAGCTAAGTACTTGATAAAAAGTCTCAAAGATGCAACCTTAGACCTCCCTCCTGACTCCAAGGAAAATACATATTAACTGTGAAATAATTTGTTAAACTGAAATAACAATGAAAGGCGGTCTTTTTGTTTATTTTGTTTTGAGATGAGGTCTTGCTCTGTCGCCAGGCTGGAAGGCAGTGGTGCTCTCTGCAGTCTTGACTTCCTGGGCGCAAGCAATCCTCCTACCTCAGCCTGAGTGGTTGGAACCGCAGGCATGTGCCACCACACCCAGCTAATTTTTAAATTTTTTGTAGGGATGAGGTCTCACTATGTTGCCTAGACTGGTCTTGAACTCCTGGGCTCAAGTGATTCTCCCGCCTTAGCCTTCAACAGTGTTGGGATTACAGGCATGTGCCACTGTGCCCAGCCAATGAAAGGTATTTTTAAAGGAACATCTAAATATTGCCATCTGAAAAAAAATGCTTTAGCCAGAAGTATCTTAGAGCCAAGCCAAATTCTCTTTTCTACAGGTAGCCACAAGGAAGAGTGATTCTGGCTAAAGAGGAGCCTTGCACAAATTTATGGCAGACATGAGGGCACCAGCTAGCAGGACAGAAATTTTTTGAGGCGTTTTATTTCCAAAATTGTCTAATTGTCTAAGTCCATGATCTTCCAAGAGGATAATGCCAAAATTACTGAACACAAATATTGCCTTTTAATGTCTCATTCCCAAGAGCCACAGGGACATGAAATGATGACTTAAATTTGCCAGAAATCTACCAGGGACAGAGCTCTGTAGCATGTGATGTCCTTGTGGACCCCAGAGGAGATTCAAAAGGAACAGTGGGCTTCGCAGGGGAGGGGCTTGCTTTGCAGCTAGAAGATGGGAAAAGCTAGTGATAACTGAGGATTCTGAGCCCCTCAAAGGGAGGCCTGCCACCTCTGCACCCCCAGGGCTTGGCTCAGAGCTTTGAATGTGGCATGTGATCAAGTGTTGCTGTGCTGAACTGAATGACAGTATAAGTTAAGCACATGCAAAAAGATGAGAGTTTAAATAAAAAAAAAAAAAAGCTAGGTGGAACAGCCTCCAAAAATGGCCAGAAGGATTGTGGTTCTTTCTGCAAGCTGTCTCCATCCCAGAGAGTCTTGATAAACAACTGCTCTCAGCAGTCCATTTGGACTGTTCCTTCCTTGACTCAATAAGCATTTAATGATCAACTACAAACGTATATCACTGGGCTATACAATTCACCAACATCAAGCCCCAACGTACTATCATACTTTGTGTGATTATGTTGACAGTGGTAAGATCGTTTTAATGTTATTCTAAGTTTTGATTCTCGTCAATATTAAAGAGCACAATGTGTTTGCCAGAGCAAAAGTCTGCCATGAGACCTACTCTACTAATTTCCTGTGTAACTCCAGTGCCCACCTTTGGTAGGTCCTTTCCTGTTAAGCACAGCCTGCTGCTCCTCAGTGATGTTCAGCCGCCGAACCACATCAGCTAGAGCTGATTTGAGCAGCTGGATGTCATCTTCTTGCATCTGAACTCTTTGCTCCAGTGAAGCAATGCGGTCTGTCACCTCCATGCTACTTGCAGCAGACGCGCTGTCATCTAAACCAAAGAAAGGATAGAGTGAGTTTTAGATGCTCCCCAGAAGTCAGATCTATAAACATACTCTAGCACATTGTTTTAAGCCCATTGTTTTAACATAATAACACTTACGGACTAAAGATTCTGCCCTTATGCAGAAACCATGTAGAAATCTTTTACTGTGTAACTACAACTCTTGGTTCTACAATGATCTTTTCATTCTCTACATTTGCGGACTTCATTTTGAAGTGTGGTTTTAATTATACTTTTTTAATGTAGGCCAACTTGTTTTCAGCGATATCAGAGAACCTCAGCAGTAGAAGGGATGTTAGAATACGTCTACTTTGATTTCCCACACATTGCAGAAACCCAGTCTGCATGGTCTTCCAGCTTCTGTTCCAACTGTGTTAACTGACAGGTAGGTTATACAATCATAAGGCCACCCTATCCATCAGTCAAGACTCTGAAGGATAAAACAATACGAGTTTGGCAAGCTACCCTTACAATTATGGTAATCATATTTTCTTATACAGAATCATAATTCCCAGCTCCTTATCAGGGTCCACAAGGCTCTCCATGATCTTTTTTGCCTCTCCAATCTCATTTTACATCATTCTTCCCTTCACTTACCATGCTCCAACCAGAGAACACAGAGAACTCTGGGAGGTGGAGATGGGCAGACTGCTTGAGCCCAGGAGTTCAATACCACCATAGGCAACATGGCAAAACTCTGCCTCTAAAAATACCAAAAAAAATTAGCCAGGTGTGGTGATATGTGCCTGTAGTCCTAGTTACTCAGGAGGCTGAGGTGGGACAGTCTTTTAGGGCCCAAGAGGTCGAAGCTGCAGTGAGCAGAGATTGCACCACTGCACTCCAGCCTGGGTGACAGAGCAAGACCCTGGGTGACAGGGTCGCCCAGGCTGGAGTGCAGTGGCGCAAAAACAAACAAACAAACAAACAAACAAATGGCTGAAATAGTGCAAATTTAACGAAATATACAATTACAGGCCGGGTGCAGTGGCTCACACCTATAATCCCAACACTTTGGGAGGCCGAGGCAAGTGGATTGCCTGAGGTCAGGTGTTTGAGACCAGCCTGGCCAACATGGTGAAACCCCATCTCTACTAAAAATTCAAAAATCAGCTGGGTGTGGTGGTGCATGCCTATAGTCCCAGCTACTTGAGAGGCTGAGGTGGGAGCATCACTTGAACCCAGGAGGCAGAGGTTGCAGTGAGCCAAGACTGCACCACTGCACTCCAGTCTGGGCAACAGAGAGAGACTCTGTCTCAAAAAAAATAAATAAATAAATAAATAAAAAAGAAAAATGTGTATACACACACACACACACACACAATTACAAAACATTAATCAAGACTAAGCAAAATAAATGCAAAACAGCCCACCTCAAGGTACATTATAGTCAAACTGTTGAAAACCAAAGATAAAGAACAAATACTAAAAGCAGCAAGAGAAAAATGGCATATGAAATACAAGAGAACTGCAGTCTGATTAACAGCTGACTTATCATAAACTACAGAGACAGAAGAGAGTGGAACTATGCCTTTAAAGCACAGGGTGAGGAAAAGCTTAATGCAGAATTTTACATCCAGCAAATACCTTCCAAGAAAGCAAACAAAATAAAGACTTTTCAGAATAAAAAAACCAGAAAGAATTAATCACCGAAAGACCTTCACTGTAAGAAATGCGATTGAAAGTTCTTCAGGCTAAAGAGAAATTGTATAAGATACAAACTCAGATCCTCATAACAAATGAAGAGTACCTGAATCAGCTCAAAAACTCACTTTTTTCCTTTTTCCACTTTCCTTTTATGTTATTATAAAACGTTAATCTTTTTTTCTTTTCTTTTGAGACAGAGTCTTACCATTGCCCAGGCTGGAGTACAGTGGTACAATCACAGCTCACTGCAGCCTCCACTTCCTAGGCTCAAATGATCCTCCCACCTCAGCCTTCTGAGGATCTGGGACTACAGGCACACCCCACCACGCCTGGCTAATTTTTAAATTTTGTGTAGAGGCAGGATCTCACTGTGTTGCCCAGACTGATCTTGAATTCCTGGCCTCAGGTGATCCTGCTTCATCCTCCCAAAGTGCTGGGATTACAGGTATGGGCCACTGCACCTGGCCTTGAACCTTCAAACTTTTAAAGGCAGAAATTATAATATTGTCTTATAGGGCTTATATTTTTATGTAATACATATGACTAGCATAACATAAAAGATGGGGTAAATATGGTTCTACAAGTTACAAGATTTCAATATTTTATATGAAGCATATGTCATTAACTATAAGTGGTTTTTATTTTATTTTGACAGAAATTGTATATATTTATTGTGTATAACATGTTTTAAAATATATATATACATTGTGGAATGGCTAAAATGAGCTAATTAACACATGCATTACCTCACATACTTATTTTTGTGGTGAAAACACTTAAAATCTACTCAGTGGTTGTCAAGAATACATACATGTTATTAACTATAATCACAATGTTGCACAATAGATCTCATGTAAGTGGTTATTATGAACTGTAAGGGGTTGGTATTAACTATAGTGGAAAAGTCACAGATGTATATTGTAATCCCTCATAAATGACTAAAGAATAACACAAAGGAGTGTAGCTAAAAAGCCAAGAGAAAATTTAAAATGAAATTCTATAGTCAAATAATTCAAAAGAAGGAAGGAAAAGAGTTAAGAAAGGTACAAAAAAGAGAGACATGCAAAAAACAAAAAACAAAATGCTAAACTCAAACCCAATATAGCAATAATTGTATTACATGCTACATTAAGGCAATCATTTCATTAAACACATCAATTAAAAAAGCAAAACCCAACTACATGCCCACTACAAGAGATACACTTTAAATACAAAGACACAGATAGGTTGAAAGCATATGAATGGAAAAAAATATATACCACGGAAACAGTAACCATAAAAAAGTCTGGATGGCAATATTAATCAGATAAAATAGATGTCAAACAAAATAAAATGTATTACCAGAAATAAAAAGGGCCATTTCATAATGAAAAAAGGGTCAATTATCAGAAAAATCCTGCAATCACAAACACATGTGCCTAATAATAGAGGTTTAAAATACATGAAACAAAACTGATAGAATTAAAGTTAGAAACAGACAATTCTATAATTTTTCCTGAAGATTTTAATGTCATTCTCTCAGCAACTGATAGAATAATTAATAAAAAAATCATTAAAAGTTTAGACAGTATAGCGAGATCTCATCTCTATAAAGAATTTAAAAATTAGCCAGGCTAGTCCCAGATGCTTGGGAGGGCTAGGTAGGAGGATCACTTGAGCCTAGGAGATCCAGGCTACAGTGAACTATGATCATGCCACTGCACTCCAGCCTTGAAAACAGAATAAGACTCTATCTTAAACAAACAAAAAACCAGTACAGACATAGAATATTTGAACAACACTATAAACCACATTGACTTAATTGATATGTAGAGAAAACCATAGCTAACAATGGCAGTGCATATGGTACATTTATAGGGCACATCATATTCTGGGTCATAAAACAGATCTGAATAAATTTAAAGATTGAAAGAGCATGTTCTCTGACCACAACGATATTGTTAGAAACCAACTACAAATATTTGGAAATGAAGCAATACATTTGTAAATAATCATTGGATCAAAGAAGATATCAGGAGAAATTAGAAAATATTTTGATCAAATGATAATGAAACTACAACAGAGCAAAATACATGGGATGCAGCTAAAGCAGGGCTTTGAGGAAAACTAATAGCTTAAAAAAACTATTGTTTTAGAAAAGGAGGATCTGGTTATTTGAAAAGGTCAACAAAATGTAAGCTCCATAAAGCAGAAATCTTTTCTGTTGGTTCACTACTCTGCCCCTCAACCTAACACACAGTGGGAACTCAACAATTATTTGATAAATTAATGAATAAATGGGTAAATGAATATCTCTTTTGAAGCATGCATTAAATTAGCTGTTAGGGATAAAAGATGATTGGCTCACACAGCTATCCTTAAGAAGTTCTCTGTCTAGAGGAGAAGACACATGTCTACACATTACTAAAATAATTTGATAAGTTATATAAATATACAAAGTGGTAAGTGAACAAAGATAAGAGAATATTAGTTGTATTTGGATCAAATGGGATCAAGCAGGAGTTGGCCTTGAAGAATGCAAATATTCACCAGGGCCAGGTACCAGTGCCTCACAACTGTAATACCAGCACTTTGGGAGGGTGAGGCAAGTGGTCAGCTGAGGTCAGGAGTTCGAGACCAGCCTGGCCAACATGGCGAAACCCCTATCTCTACTAAAAATACAAAAATCAGTCAGGTATGGTGGCACGCACCTGTAGTCCCAGCTATCTGTGAGGCTGGGGCAGGAGAATCGCTTGAACCTGGGAGGCAGAGGTTGCAATGAGCCAAGACTGTGCCACTGCACTTCAGCCTGAATGACAGAGCAAGACTCTGTCACAAAAAAAAAAAAAAAAATAAAAAAAAAAAAAAAAAAAAAAAAAAAAAAAAAAAATTCACCAGGTGTAAAAGTAAGAATGGCATTCCAAGCAAAGGAAACAAGCAATTTAAACAAAAACAGAAATACGAAAATACATGGGATATTCAGATAATAGTAAGTGGCCTCTGACATTGAAATCTGACACCTTGTAACTTCTGCTTACTGGATAAAGTTACAAGGTGGCAGATTTCAATGTCAACCTTGTAACTTCTGCTTACTGTCTTGCCCCTAAATTCAAGCTCTGTCAATTTTCTAAGTAACAGATAATTGTTTCACACATAGAAATAGTTTTCAAGTGTTTCCATGGCACTTCGGAGAGAGAATAATAGATCTCTATTAACCAAGAGAGCTGCTAAGCTCTTACAAGGAAAATATTGTGTAAGTCTTTTTAAAACTGTATCTCGGGCATATCTCCTTAAAGAAACAAAAGTATAAAGCAAGAACAACTTGCAAATATTCTTTTCTCAGGCATCTCCTCTCCTGGAACTAA